AGCAGGACTAATGAGGTATTTGGGGGAGAACTCGAACAAGTCTCCACAGTATATCTTCATAGTGACGACCAAGTTCCCAATATAGGTCAAAAAGAACGTCGCAAATTTGCAGTTCAACTGAGCCCTTAATCCTTATTCGAACATCTAGAAACCGGCACTAAATTATTTCAAAGGTTGCCTGCCAAGCTATTTTCCCGAAACTATTATTTTTATTATTATTATTTGTATTGTTATTATGGATTTAGTGTCAAAAACATAAGGGTTATCCCCCTTTTAGTTCATTTATCAAAAATTTAGCAAAAGGATGACTGAAAAACAGTAGTGGAAATTGTGCGGATTCTATATAAGGTTCCGGCGTAATGTTGATCTCAAATTTTATAATTTAACATTTTTTTCAATGTTTAGCAACAAGGATTACAGAAATTTACATAGTCACATAACATCCTTTCTTCTGTTTTTTTTTTAAGTTTAGATTGGAAACTTGGTGCCTGAATTGTGTTCTGCGTGTTTGTGAACACTTTTCGAAGCCTGCGATTGGTTGTTCTTTCAGGTCCAGATTTTGCTCTTTGGATAGCAGCTTAATTGCTTTCTCGTTGCCTTCTAAGCCTAAAACACTAGCATAATACATTTGCCCTTCTGAAGCCATCTACTATTCTTTTTTGTTAGTTACTTTTGTTTAGCTGGTTTAGAACATTAATACACAGGTAAAGGGGACACCTTACGAGCTGTTCAGCTACTAACAGAAACGAAACACAATTGTCCGCCTGCTTAAGAAAAACTTGTACTTTTTTGTTTATTTTCTAGTAATTTTAGAAGCACATCATGATTGAATCAAATCATTGAACTCATTATATAACCAAGCCTGCACCAACTTATACCATCTCAGTAAGAATCTTCTCAAATCTGAAGTAGCATCTAACATGTAATGAAACATGATGTATTCTTCTGTATTTTACGCAGACATTTCACTTCATTCACTATGGAGATAAAACTGGCGAGATAACCATGCGATCTGGTTTTAGTGCATCAAAATAGGGACTGAGAACTTAATATACCATTGCGCGCAAACAGACAAAAACAGTCTCAAAATTGTCAGATGGCAAATCCCTTGCAGCAGTAGTTAGCACGCAGCTTCACTTTCAACCTTGACACTAGCAATGATTATAAAAAACATGAAATTATTCAAAAATGGCATAGTGCTGATTTAAATTATCGGACAAAACTAATGAAAGTTGAAATATACAACGCGTTTTTCTCATACTGGCTTGATTTTAGGAAAAAAATAATAAAGCAAACTTTGCTTAGAAGTTTGGCATACTTAATTAGGTGCAATTTATTTTTGGCTTTTCGTCAATGAAAATTTAAGCAAAAGCCATTTGTTCAATTACAGACAAAACTATATTTCAGTGAGCCTCTTACGTAGATCAACAAAATTTAACAGGGGTATAATTCACAACTTTGTATATATAAATTTATTTTCGTTTGATGGCCAAAAAATTTCATTTTTACTATATAAAATACCCATTTAAAAAGTTTGCGCCCCTTTTGGAGATTACACAATTCTTTAATTTTGTTGACCTACATAAAAGGTTCACTGAGATGGGGTTTGGATTGACTTAAAAGCCGAAAATAATCGTTTTTTGGATAAAATTTTGGGGCTCGAATTTCGAAAAACAAATTGCACTATATTAACTGTTTGAAATCTAAGCAAGATTTGTCTCCAACATTTTTTGTCTAATTTCAAAACAGTTTGAGAAAAACGCGTTTTAGATTTCAAGTTTTCTTTTCATTTTGATCGGATATTTTAAATCAGCGTTGTATTTATAAATACTGAATGTGACATCACTTCATTGGTTTTTTGCAACCCAAAATGAAAAAGCCAAAATAGAAAGCGTATAATGTAAAAGTTGATATTAGCCAAGTGACATCGCCAAAAATACTACTCAATTTCAGCAAAATGATCTTCATCGCCATTCCAAACCACTTACTTCTAAACCGCCCAAATAGTTTGAAGCATTCATGAAATATCCAACTTTTCATACAGGTACATTAGAGAAGATCTCGGAGCATAGACATTAAAGCAAAATCCGTAAAGAGAGTTCAGAATGTACCAAAGTATTTTTTGTTTAAAATTTCAGATCCGATTATGAGACACTTGCTACAGCCTGTGTAATGAATGATTACTTAAATTTTGGAAATAAAAACTGTTCATCACTAATAACTTATTAAGTTTCGTGAACTCGGGCTTCAAGGTGAAGCTGAAAAGGTCTTCATCATATATGTTGCAAGAAACATTTTCAAGGCGAGCTAAAAAAAAATTGGGCAAAAATCGAGAAAAAAAAGACGCATCCAGAAGAAAAATATTTCATGATCTCAATCTGAGCGTATAATATAGAAGTTAGTTATTCAAGTTTCTAGGAAGTTGCGAAGAAAATTTATAGCAAAATCTGTTGAGCGAAAATTCTTCAAGTTTCTAAGAAGCTGTGGAAAAAATAATAGCAAAATTTCAATAAACCTCTTAGCATATAACTTAAAAACAGTAAAAGAACTTCCGCCAACAAAACAAAACTAAAGAGCAAAACAGCAAAACAAAAAAGTAAAAAGTCAATCAGAAAATTTTGAACCCAGCAGCCACAAAACCATTTCAAATACCATAAGCGAAAATGAGCAAGTATAGCTGGTTGGTGTGCATGTAAGCTGATAGTTCTGACAACAGTAGATTTCGCAAAATTTTTTTAAAAAAAATAATCGAACACAAAAATAGCCTAACAAGCGGCCATGACAATAATTTTAAACAGTTTGATCTGAAAAGAACGCAAAAATTGGAAGCACGTGAAATTGAACACAAGGCGAAGCGCAGCTTTTCACTACTCGCGAGAAAAACATAAATGATAAGCTTTAAAAAATGGACTGCAAAAACTGCGAAATTTTCATGTTTATCAATAAATTCAGTACCCTTCTCTAGCGCTCTTTGATTCATAAAAGTTCATTTAACAAACCCGAACCAGGCGAAGGTAAATCACAAAAACTTTCAAAGAAAATTGCAATTATAGAAATTAAAAACTATTTGAAATGCAATTTTGTGTCACTTCAAATTTTACGCTATTTCTGAAATGCGGCAGATTTCTTTTACAATTTTAGAAGCCAACTCAAACTGGGAGTAAATTTGCACCCATACAAACACTCTAAATTGAGTTAGTGTCTCCATGACAAAGGCATAGTAATTAAGCAGATGCTTTCGATGAAAAAATATCTAATAAGGTACAGGAGACCACAAAAACTGCAAGTTTCAGAAAAAATTGAATAAGATTTTTGAAATTAAATTTCCCATATACATATATGCACAAAACTCTCAGATTAAATTTACTTTATATTATGATAATTTATTTCAATAATTAGGATTATTGGTGGGAAAACGTATTAGATTTGATAAATTTATCTTCGTCTTTTATCTTGGTTTCATGTGAAAATTTCAGTCATTGCTCAGAGGCCTCTAAATTTATTGTCACACAGCTTTCAAACTCAAATTTTAAACGTCGCCCAACCCCCCCCCCCCCCTAAGCCCCGCACTCGCATAAAAACGTTACTGTATTTATTATCACCCTTCCAAATTATGCAAAACGAAAATTTAGACAAATTTTTGATAATTCAAAACCGATTTTCAATTTCAGACAAAATTATTTATATCAGACAAAAAATCCAGTCTGTGGAAAATAAGCCGGTAACAAAATTGAGCAAACGTAACATAGACACAACACTTAAGTTTTTCCGAAAAAAAATCAAAGAGATCTTCGAAAGAAACTGCAATAAGATTTGTATATAGCACCTGTAAATAGCACGCAAGCAATTACAAAAAACGCAATTAATTACGAAAAATTTTTTTTTAGAGATATTCAGTCTTCTTTTTTGAAATGATCGAAAAACACATTTAAATATGCTTCAAATCAGTTAAACAGATCATTCAAATAAATTAATATAAAATATAGTGTTAATCAACGAAGCTAACAGCGAAGAATAATCATTCTCTCTGATAGATATTAAAATCAGAAAAAATCATACTAACTATTCATGATACTGAGAATTTTTTTTTCTAACTCGCAATTCATTAAATTCATTCTTGCCCGCATAGCCGTGGTGTGAACAAAACTACTTAACCTATAATTGTAGCTCCGAGGTCGTGGAAGAACTTTATTTCCAGTGCTTTTCCACACAGTGGGATGAAAATAGCGGCAGTCTTGTCTTCGGGTATGATTTCAGACTGAAACTTCAGAATGAACGGATTCAATTCCTGCCGGTGAAAAGCCGGAGAGTCTGATTCTTCCCACATTCCATTCCAGCGTTCCAAATTGGACATTACTGTTCTCGAAACGCACTTTATTGACAAACGGGACAAACTTCATTGGATTTACAAAACTATGATCCAACATTTTTGTAGAGCAGATGAAAGATTATAGTGAGATACTTTAACTTTCTTATCGCAACTTTCGTTGCTCTCATAATGCACTGAAAAAACTTATTCTCCCCCTGAAATGGCGGTAAAGAAGTGTTTATCACAAATTCAGATTCAAAGCAATCAAGAATTGATGTCCAAGAAACCAGAGGGACTTAGATCCCAAAACCTCGATTGTATTGACATGGGATTAACAACACACTCGACTTCAAAAATGTTATGAATACGGTAAAAACTCAACAATTGGTAGGCTCTTTCTTTCCCATGTGAATAAACCCAAAACGTGCACAACCGCTGATCTCATTCTATGTATGAAGTTTTTTACACAGCGCAGATGTTCTTTAAGCTTAAAATTGAGATGATCCAATCCATTATAAACCGCGCATTAGATTTTCAAAAAAGAGCCTGAAAATCAATTGCGTTTGTAAATAGGCAATCATATTGTTTTTTTTTTCAGCTTGACTTCGAAATGATGTTCATTTGTTTTGACTTCACACTACCCGAACAGCCTACTAATCCAAAGGTGAACTTCATTTCAGTCTCGGGTCCAATTTACATCAAAACACTCTAATGTGCAAAGACAACAGAAGAAAAGAGTAAATTTGAAATTCATCCTGGGAGACCAGATCTATCGAGAATGCTTTAAAAGCTTTCAAGCACACGTCGGCTTTATAATTCGAAATTAGCATACTCTTTGTTCCATTCCACAGAAAGCACTGAATTGAAAATAAAAGATCAACTAATTCTTTTTAAATCGATCAACATTATTTCATCTGAACTTAAATATTAAATAAAGTGCTGATTTAATCGATTTTTCCAGTGTTTTGATTTTCTTTGCTTTAATCGTTTTTTTTTTTTCAGGGAACAGTTTATTCGTCCTGGGTGCTCTAATTAACGTTTTTCTTTTAAAATTAATAAGACTAGTGTAATAGTAGTCTGATTACTTTCAATCGATTAACGTTTAACAAAAACACCTATTTTGCTAAAACTTCGACCATACAGGAGATTTTTTCTTCTAGGGTGTTTTGAGCAATAATCAAAAACTTTGCTCAAAAGACAAATTTTAGAAAATAGAATCACCTTAAAACAAATATTTTGTGCTAAAGTCCTCTTTTTCGAGAAAAAAAATCAGAATTCGAAATACAAAGAACGGATTCAGTCGATTTCAACTTAAGATGAGAGCGTACAGCCAAAAGCCATGAGATTTGGGTATAACAGAAGTAACCAGATTTGGGTATAAAAAGCGAAGCCCTGAATGTTCAGACTGCCTTTTAAGGTCTATAGAGCAGAGTTCGCTTTGAAAAACTGCATTGAAAAAAAAATCGAATCAAGATGAGTAATTTCGATCAATTATAGACAATCATCAGGCTGAAATGAAGCAAAAATTCAAGCGTACAAACCTATGTACCTCGTAAAATACAAAATTATGAACAAATAACAAAACAAATAGCGAAAAAACGAAACGCAACATACACACGATGTTAAAAAGATCCTCAAACGACATATATAGAAACGAGACTGCTCGTACCAGGTCAAAGCCCTGAATGTTCTGACTGCATTTTACGGTCTATAGAGGGGTAATAACATTAAAAAAATAAATGTAACAAAAGATTTTTTTTTTAATTTGAGGTTTTTGTAAAAATCATCCCCCCATACGCCATATAAAAAACAAAGTGATAGACTTCGCTTCTAGTAACAAATCAATTATGGCAAATAAGCTTCCTTCATCCAATTTGGAACATTTTCTAAGACGGATAAAATCTCCTCTTACGCGTTAATAGCGCGAATTATTTCGCGCGTTAATTGTCCCAAATTGGCAAAAATGGCAACTTTTTAACCGACATAACTTCACGAAACATGATCACAGGTGAAATATCTTTTCAAAATTAAGCTCAGGACAACAATACTTTTTGAATGATATTTAAAAAATCCGTCCAAAAGGGCTAGTTAAAAAGTCAAAAATTTGTCTGAAAAAAAAACACCGAGCACAATAATCCGTTACTTTCGTTACAAAAAAAAACGGAACAAATTTCACTCCTAAGTAACGTAAGAATTATGACAAATAGCTTGCTACAACCAAATTTGAACGAATTCTAAGACGCATTAAATCTCCGCTTACGACGTTATAGCGCAAAATATATCGCGTTAATTGTGCCAAACTGGCCATCTTTAAACTCCATAAATTTTTGAAAAACAATCACAAGTAAAAAATCCTTTTAGATTTGAGCGCAAGACAGCAATACCTTTCGGATGATAACAATTTTTTTGACAAAATTGGCTTGTTAAAAATGCGAAGTTTGTCTGGAGGAAAAGACACCCCACCCCGCACACAAATCGAAAGTAGGAGCAATAAATTAGCTATTGTGTAGTCGTATACTGCGAATAACTAATAGAATTATTTCGCATGATCTGCCTGTTAACATATAAACACGTTCAATACTAGAGGGGGCCCACAGCGAAGCTTCAAAAATTAGCTAACAACAGCTGAAGTTACGTAAAGTAAACTTTTTCAGTCGATTGAAATGATATTGATCGATTGGAAACTAGCAACACACTAATTTAAAAACTCGTTAGTCTTATGAACACTTATGAGCCTTCTTTTAAGCAGTTTCCCCGTTTTACATAGTTGATACAAAAACCAAATAAATCTTAGCAGAATACGCAGAACATGCAAACACTGTAATAAATGAAAAAACAAATTTCGATAAAATTTTTTTAGTGATATGATATAATAAGTGGTAATTTTGAGTATAGTGCATGCATTACACAGAGACAAAGTTGCACTTCGCATAAAAAAGCAAAATATGACCGATAACGCTACTGGTAAAAACTGAATGAGTAAAACTTTGAGTCTGCAAAAGTTCTTAAGTGACGCACGCCAATTATGAGCCTACATAATTGCTAAGTGACGCAAGCTAACTATGACGCATTAGCAGTACCAGTCAATTTGAAAAAAAAAGAAATTTACCAATTAACATGCCTCAATTTATAGAGCGGACGCATTTTAACTAGTATACGAAAGATTCATTAAAAACATCCGACCCTGCCCAGGTTCGAACCCTCTCACTTTGCTGCTGGTCTCTACCTCTACGCTACAGATCCATGATACCTTAAAGCTAAAGTGCTTTTTGTAATATATTAGTATTTGTTAATATCCTTAGCATTGGCTGTACCTAATAGCTGGTTATTAATCAAAATGAACACATTTTGTCGCAAAAATATTTGCGTCGCAACAATATTTGTGACTTAGATTGGAAAAGAAGAGAGTTCATACTATAACACAAGCTTTGCTTGTGAAAACAATGAAAACTTTAAAACATAATATACTAATTTCATTTTCAATCACTTGTACATGCTTCTAAGATAGTTTTTGTGAATACATTTCTCTGCCAGATAAAAAATTATTCAAAAATTCAAGTTTTACACTTCTTTTGCCAAAAATTTTGGCTTTTGAAATAAATTAAAAACACTGTTCGAAGATCAACAAAGAACTCTCCAGCTATTTAACTTGAACCTGCCACCTATTGTAATATGTTTTTTACAGCATCCATTTGTAGCAAATTTTCTTCATTTTCTTCGAAGCGAATCAAGAAGTTTCAACACTAGTTGATAGTAATTTCAGGCATACAAAGGTATAAAATACAAAACAGATTGGGTTTGACATCGCTAAAACTCAGACAGCTTCTCTCGACAGAAAATTGAGAAATATTTTTGGAATCACTGCTGAAAGGCGCTTTTACATGATATCACACTAGAATTTTAACCGGAAAAATCATGATTGCACACTAGAAAACAGTTTTCATACTAGCTTAAATGGCGAAAATGAAATCGACCCTAAAATATAGTTCGTTCAAATCATAAAAATATCTGGTCAAAATTCATCAGACCAACAACTTTTACCAACAAACTAATATAAGCTTTAAAATATTTATTTTTGAAAAAATCTTGAGCAAATTCGAAATCAAATCTCTGTTTAATGTTATAACTGGAAGTTTCAGTTGTCATAAAATTTTGTAAATCGTAATTTTGCGTACAACATAAATGATGAAGTTAAAAATGTAAACTGGTTACTTTCTATTTGCACACTAGTAGTTTACGAGACTAACACTGATTCATGCTCATAATGCCACTATTCACGAATGTATTCGCTGTGAAGCGAGAGTTCGCTACTTCCCAACGATAATTTCGAACTCAGATATACGAATAATTACCAGTAATGAATAGTAGCTTTTAGAGCACTAGCAAAATATCACAGTTTACGAATATTCAGAAGTTACGAATTCGAGTTGTCGTCCAACCCACGATGGAACTCAAATCACCGATTTCTCAATTGGAATACGCACACCGCCACATTTATTACCGCCATTTTCATGAACTATTTAAGCCGAGTTTTTGCGTTCACAAAATTAGCGAAAAAAAAAGAGTTTCAGGAAGGTTCAACAATGCGTTGCTTGAGCCTTGTGAAAAATATATGGGAAAACTCTTGCTGAAAAATATAAGCATTCTGCATAGATTCCCAAAAAATTGGATGATATTTCTTGTAAAAAAACGTACCCTACAGCAGATAATGTCCAAATACGTAAAATAAAACTTGGGGCTTTTTTTTAATTTCCCCCACCTGCGAAGTGAAAATTTCTTTCACATTGTCGCATTGTTACTAGAAAAGACTTAAATTGGCATAAAAACTAATTATGACGTCACAAACATTTTTGATTCACAAACTCACATACCTTCTAAAACCACTTGTTGCCCAATAAAATTGACATATTGCTGAAATAATTGCAAAATAATGTTCAACAAATTGCAATACACGCCTTCTCTCTACATTTAATCGAAAATCCGTTCTAAAAATCTCCAGAAACGTTTAAATCAGCACTCACTGCCGGGTCAATGACGTTTTGTAGCATT